ATGTAGAGATGCAGTGGGCAGCCTCCTCTGAGGGTAATTCTGGTGCAGACCTCTATAGGAGATGACTGAATGATTCAACTGCATCCACTTGGCTTAGTAGATGGGCATTCTATCCTGGAATGGTACACTGAGCAAACAGGGGCCTTAAATCAATCAACCAGTTTCTCATGGGACACCAACAGTTCCTTTGCAGCACATTAGTGTGCTCTGGCAAACCATTTAGGAATTACTGACTTAGATGATTATATAAATCTGGTTTGATCACAACAAATTAATTGTCCAGTTGATAACAACAAATTAAGTGTCCACTGCAATGCAGTGACATTAAATCTGTGGGGCATATACCAACCCAGCTGGAGAAAGAGAAGAGAACAGAAGATGGAATTGTAAGTGGAGGGGGGCCCTTTCCCCATCCTTTGAACCCCCTGGGAAACTTACCAAATCTGCTGTAACTGGAACTGGGAAGGTGTGTCAGAAGGAAAATGAATTGATATGGATTTCTATATATTCATAAATTTGTACTAATGGAACACTTTATATGTAGTTGTTTATTTTTGCAACATTTGATTTAAGTTGTCTATTGTAGCTTCAGTTTTTTGGTACACTGGTTAGAGATCTTTTAAATATATTAAGCAGGATAGAAATTAAATAATCAAATCAAATCTTTATTTTGAGGAAACCAAACCCAATGGACTGGGTCCCCTGAAATCTCTCACTACTTGGAGATTAGGCTGTACATAACAATATTTTAGCCTTACTGCACTGGTGCTGATATACAAAATGTTCTTTCACAATGCAATCCTAAGCATGTTTACTTGGAAGTAAGTTCCACAGAGGTAGGTGTGCATATACAGTGGTATCTCGGGTTACAGACGCTTCAGGTTACAGACTCAGCTAACCCAGAAATAGTAACTCGGGTTAAGAACTTTGCTTCAGGATGAGAACAGAAATCGCGCGGCTGCAGTGCGGCGGCAGCAGGAGGCCCCATTAGTTAAAGCGGTCTTCAGGTTAAGAACAGTTTCAGGTTAAGAACGGACCTCCGGAACGAATTAAGTTCTTAACCAGAGGTACCACAGTACAGTATTTGCAGCCTTAGCATGCAGCTAAGAAACCTCTATACTTTCCACTTTATTAGCTGCATCATGCTCAGAAAACTTATGGATGTGTTTGAACAACAGGGTTTTTTTTTAAAAAAAAACATGTTAAGTCCATGAAGTTTCTCATGCTGCAAAATCTGGAAAAGATTACACAACTGGGGAAATTATGAAGAAAAAATGGGATTCCTGAGTCAGTTAATGGACATTGTGGACTACAAGTAACTATTGAAATGATTCTGTGGAACTACAGTAATAATTATAGTAAATTGCTAGGGTGAAAAGGTGAGATGAAGATTTGACATATACTGGGTGGGAAGATGTATGCTGCCTTTGCTTCCACAATAGACCTTTTGTTCCAGAATATGCCTTTGTTAGTGGAAGAAAAGGGAAGGTGTTTTTGCCAATTCCTCCTCACCGCTGCAGCTCAGTGTCCCCACACCCTTAAAACTAGTCCCAGGGAGTTGACGGAGAGGCTCCGCCACAGAGTGGAAAGTGGTGTGGGAGGTTGAGCACCAATTGGATGCCACCCGATGTCAGTCTCAAACATTCATTCTCATGGGCATACAGATTTCCCACAACTTGCAAGTTGTATCTGCTACAGCTCCGAAATGTGTTGCCAGTGCTCCTGGCACCATGTTCCCTTCTCAGCATTCTTGGGTTGGTTCTGCTGCAATGTGCTTTAAATGTATGGGGTGCATGCTGCCCAAGTTGTTTGCTTTGTGGCACTGCAACACTTTACTTTTGTGCTCTGTAGGCACATCCAAAAGACCAGAATAGAACAATTGCAAAAAGTCACTGCTTGGTGTTATCAGTGGTAAAAAGGATTGGGTGTTCATTCATCCACCATAGATTAAATTGCTGCTATTTAATGCAACATAAAATTATTTTTATTATTATGTTCCATTATTTTTATATATTCTGTAAGCTGCCCAGATTGGCTGTGGAAACCCAGTCAGATGGGTGGGGTATAAATAATAAAATTTAATTTTTTATTATTATAACATAGCCATCTCCATAAAATTCAGTATATTCACTTTACAAGATGACAGGCTAACCTTAGTAAGAAAAGATTTGCTGTAGTCTGTATCCTGGTGGTTTGCGGGAAACCCCAGTGCTGGAAAGAATTTGAGTGAATAGCTTCCAGTCTGTGACTGACTTGCTCATATACTATTTCTCCTGTAGTGTGGTCACTCCAAAAGATGTATGATCTTTTGGGGTAGTTTCTTGACATCTCATCAATGGAATTAGAACATGCAGTGGGATCCTCATTGCCTGTGGGCAATAAGGACGGCGCGGGAAGCAAGCACAGCACCTGGAGACCGAGAGAACCACAGATAAGTCAGACTTAGTAAAAGTGAAAGCTGAGTCATAAGGAATTTGTGTTTGAAGATCAAGGAAAAGTCCAAACTCATGTGTACAACCACATCATTCACTTGATTAGTTCACCGTCTCTGAACTCTGGGATAAAGAACTAATGGCCACCAAAAGTTCAAATAGGGTCTTTTGTCCCACCAACCCTCCCAACCATTGCTGTACATTCCCATGTGCCAACTTTGATTCCCACTGTAGTCCTGTAATTTCTTTTTCCAGGATGGCAGTTTTCTCAATGCTGCTGCAATTTGCAAGGCAGGGCAGGGCAGGACAGGACAGGGGATGAGCACAGACAAGAGTGCTGGACTAGACACAAACCCTATTGCTACACCTCCAAAGTGAAACTTTATGCTTCTACCCAAGGTGTGGTCTCGTTCTTATTCTTGTGCAATGGAACTTCTTCTCTGACTTTGCCTTCTATTCTTACACACAGCCAGACAAGATAAACCACCCTCATTCTCCTCAAAGATCTTCAGTTCTTAAAGGGGTTTAACAATCGATGTCTCTTCACAGGGAACTCCAGGGATTGTAGCTCTGTGAGGGGAATTGGGTCTCCTAACAACTCTCAGTTCCGTTAACAAATTACAGTTTCCAGGATTCTTTGGGGGAAAGCCATAAGTGTTTAAAGTGGTATGATACTGCTTTAAACATATAGTATAGATGCAGCCATACTGAAACAGGATGAGATTGCACTTCAAATAAGTGATTGCCATTTTGTATTAATGAGGAAGTACATTGGCACTAGAGAGTTGTATCAATACATTTTGAATTGTATGCTAGGACAACTTCTCAAGAGGATAGCAAATTCCTTCTTATACATGAACCCACTTAAAAATATATCATACCTATTATACACTGACAAAATCAAAATGTGGGTAGTATTCAGCTACCAGGCTGATGACATTACTTGTTTCTTTTTAGGTTGTGGAAGGAGGTTCTAGACAATTCATTATGTAGCAGAGGACTATGTTTTATGAAATAACTTGGTTACAGAAAACCTTGCATGCTAAATTGAGTGAGTAAGCAAACAAACAAACACAGACATGGTTCCTGATGTTTAGAAGTGGGAAGGCTGCAGCACTGCCAGAGGCTTAAGAACAACTTTTTCCCACCAGTTCAGGCAAAATCTTAAAACTACAAACTTTTAGTATGAGCTTCGCTCTAAACAGTGAAATACTTACCACCCACTCATTTTCTGAGTGGAAACGTTCCTCTAGTATCACTTCCCTGATTGATTTTCTGTGGAAGCATGTCACTGGGAGCTATTGGCATTTGTAATATTTGAGCTTATTTACAAACGTACAGCTTGAACATAGTTGGATCACAGTTTAAGCAAAGATTGTATTTTTTTCTGTTAAGGTGATGCAACAGTGGGATAACACTTGCTTTGATGCAATGCCATCTAGCCTCCCCACAAATAAATCAGGATGAATGCTCATTAAATAGCCAACATAATCTCTCTGCAAACAAATGAGGCTGAAATCTCATTAAACAAGTAGTCCAGAAGTGACCTCCTGTCTTAATCGCACTTGAAAACTGCAGCTTTTGACTTCTGTTTCCTTAATAACACCTATTACAACATCTTTTGGGAAATGGGGTTGTATCTGTTTTTGACCCATTCGTAGGAGTTAAGAAAGATCATCCCACATTTAGTTTCCATGGAAATGGAATAGCCTGATGACTAACATTCCTTTTTTCAAGCCCATGAGTCTGGCCAACTTATTGTCTCACAGCAAATCAGAGAATGCATATATTCAAAGAAATCTGACAGAACAGATGACTATTGTGGTATCTTGGTGTGGTAAAATAAAAATGGATAGGGCTGAATTTTGTCAAGGTGGGCTGTGTAGAAATTGTTGATAGCAACAAATAGTAAAATGGCAGTTATGTGATGTTTCACAAACCCTTATTAGTTAAAAAAGAATTTGGTCACTACCATGCGCAAGTGATCTGAGGATGCCCTTAAAAGCTGACAAAAATAAAGAGCATAATCATCAGTTCCAGCAATTGCAACATGTCAACACGTAGCACGCTCAGCCAAGTAGTCATGGAGATGCCACAAGTCTAAAGCAAGCAGCAAACAAAGCATAAAGCAACCTTTAGTTCTGTGTACATTCCTAAAGAATCAAGCTGACAGCATAATCCAATCATCCATCGTGCGCATGAGCGAGTTATACTGCCCATAAGTCTGTTTGTATTAGCACAACACAGCTAGGACTGGCTTATAGAATTTGCAGAATCAAGTGTTGAAGCTTTTCCTGGATCTGATTCTTCAATAAACGATCATGGCAGGCATACCTTCAGACTCATAACTGTTTCCTTACACATTAAACAGATGATGCACATCTCCATCTATTTTGTGGCCACTTCCCAAGAAACATGGAACAGTAATATGGGAAGCAGCTCTCATGATTGCAACTTCAGCTTGGAACCAAACGTTCAATGATTTTGAACTTGCAGCCAAACCTTAAAAGGAGCCAAACTTCTAATGACAGATTCCACAGTTGCCAGTGACTGCTTTTAAACCATTCCAAAATGACTGTCTAACACTCAGTCACTCACTCTCACTCACACACTCTGAGTTATTAAGGAAGGAAGCCAGCCAGCCTACCCCAATTATCAAACAAGCACACAAATTAGATTTGTACTTTCAGGCACTCCAGAACACACAGAATCTAGGAAGCAGAACACAGATTATATCCTTTCACCTCACTAACACATGCAATAGCAAAGGAACATTAAAGCAGTCACAGAAGAATGTCCAAAATTTTGATGGGATCATATACAGGACAAACGTGCCATGGAGTAGGTATATACATGTCTCACTGTAGGCATCACCTTGGTGAACAAAGTCAGGCCCTGTTCATGTGAACTGACACCTCTCACAAGTCTGTATTCATGTCTCTGCCACAGGGCTGGGGATCTGTGACCCTCTAGTTGTTGTGGACTCTGGCTCCCAACAACCCTGACTATTGGCCATTATGGCTGGGGTGGATGGAAGTTGGAATCCAACAACATTTAGAAGGCAACAGATTTTCCTGCCCTGCTCTAGTGGCGGACCTAGAAGCAATGAAAGGAGGTAGGTTATTCCAGGTCCACATATATCATTACTTATTGGTGCTATCTGTCACTATTACGTAGGCTAGCAGGTAGCAATTAAGGTAGTAGCACAAGCCAAGAAGCTGAGTGGGGAAGGCAGGACAGGAGCAGTCTTGCTCTGTTGGAATGAAGGGGCCTGGTGTGCATCCAATTTAATAACTTCCCCTAGCCTCACCCAGCTTCTACCAGTGCAGAGGTGAGCATGAGGGCAAACACTATTACTTCTGGAAGATTTGTTCTGTGGCAGCCTATGGTCCACCCTATCACTGTCTCCTGCAACATCTTTCTGCTGTCCACAGGGCTGCTGACTCTTAACACACCATGGAAGACACAGGCATTTTGTGAAGATGACTGCAGTCTTGCAAAGCATGAAATCACATCTGCTGACCTCGTCCCTGACTTCTGCATGCTGATCAGGTCCTTTGAACAGAGCATATGTGCATACAAGCCAGCTTGTGGGGGGCATGAACCAAGGGCCACATTGGTCTGCCAGACTCCCCCCTGGGCAGGTGGACAGCACAGCCCCACTTTGCTCAGCTCAAGTATGAGTGAAACCAGACTAACAAATCCAGCAATCTTGTCCATCAAGTATGAACTAGCATCAATAACAGACTTTGAAATTATTACTGAGTTTTCTTCTATTAAAGCAAGAAAAATAAAGTTCTAATCTCATCAGACTTCATTGAGGAGATTGCTATTTAAAGCCAGAGTTGGCCTAACTTGACTTTAAAAAAATAATTCAAATAACAACTCTTGTGAATAAGAACTTGTAACTTGTGACTTGTGAATAATACTAATAATAGTTTTCTTACTTGATATCAACCAAATTACACAGATATTGCAAAAGCAATGCCATTTTACATCATACAGTATTATAATGTAAAGTTATCATTGTGGAACAAATCAGCGTGATATTGTTTGTATGTTTCATTTAGGTCTATCTGTGTATTGTTTTACAACTGAATTACATAAAAACATGTCAAATGATATCAAAATGTCATTTTCTTTGCTGAAACCTTTTATTAAGAATTAATAAATTAAATATTGGATTTTCTGTGAAAAAATTACAAGGTGAAGTGCGTGAGGAATTGAATGGGTGGAGGGGAGAGTTGGAGGAGAGGCAGAAAGAAGAGTTAATTTGTCCATGGCTAGGGGGTGCAATCTGGATGGTTCTGCGAGGGGCACAAGATCTCCCACCTCCTTCCCATGGCCCAGCGCCTCGCTTACTGGGCTTTGAGATGGTGCCCCCTAAACTCAGTGCATATGCACTGCTCACACAGGCCTAAATCTGCCCCTGTACAAGTGGTCTAAATAACTAAAGAATAAAATTAAACAGAATTAAAGCTTATGAGATCTGCTTGTTTGTTGGTTTGTTTCTCCTTCTTATCAATTTGTTATATTGCCCTTCAATATAAAATCACCAGGGTGATTTACAGACAAGAATTACCTCATGGATAACTCTGGAATAAAAGGTTCATGGATAGTGTTTTAGTAAGCCAGCCTGGTCTGGTTACTTTTGCATTGCAAGGGAGTGATTCACAAGCTTCCTACTCTACTGCAGTCCTGCTGTTGTGAGTGAATCGCCCCCTCAGACTTCTATCCAGCAGTGACAGAGAGGACTATCCTCTGTAGAGAAAAATTCTCAGGACAATGTGTTCCATTCAGCATGTGGTTTGAGGAGGTGTGGTTTGGATAGCATAGAGTATGATGACCTCCAGATGTGCAAATTTCCATCAGCCAGCTTTCCCCCCTTAATACAAGGTAGACTCATACTCCAAGACACTATCATTCTCTGCTCAGCCAGAGTTATAAATAAACTCTTTAGTTCTAAAAATATTTCTGATTAAAAACTATTAAGGTTTTTTTTTTAACCTCCCAAGAATATTGCTGCCTCATACAGAAATCTTTAAACACACCATCGAAAGATTCTGGAGTCAATAGTGTGATGGGTTTCAACTGTAGACTGCAAGTTTCAGGTCTCTGCTCAGCAGGGAGAGTGACTTGGGCAAGTCAATATCTCTCAGGCTAATCCGAATGATTGAGAGGATTAACATGAAATAATGCATATCGATAAATCAACATTGAGGTACTGGTCATGTGTTGTACAGTCAAACCTCGGTTGTCGAATGTAATCTGTTCCAGAAGCCCGTTCAGCTTCTGAAATGTTCAACTTCCGAGGCGCGGCTTCTGATTGGTTGCAACAGCTTCTTGCACTCAAGTGGAAGCCGCGTTGGACATTCTGAAAAATGTTTGAAAACCGGAGCATTTACTTCTGGGTTTTCGGTGTTCGGGAACCAAAACGTTTGAAAACGGAGCCGTTCGACAACCGAGGTTTGACTGTAGTACATTTTTGCACAAGAGAAAAGTCTGGAAGACAATATGTTTTGAGTGTTCTACAAGTACTCATGATATTGTGGGTTTGTGACCATTTCCAGTAATAATAATAATAATAATAATAATAATAATAATAATAATAATAATAATTTATTTGTATCCCGCCCATCTGACTGTGTTGCCCCAGCCACTCTGGGCAGCTTCCAGCATATATAAAAACATAATAAAGCATTAAACATTAAAAAGCTTCTCCTTCATGGAGAGCACGTGTTGTGGTGGGGTCTGACAGGCCACCCCTCTGTTGCTGGCCATAGCAGTGATTGGGCTGTTTGAGTTACTGGGGAAATTCTGATGTTGCCAATTTGTGGGATGGACCAAGGGTTTTATATACTGAGCACGCAGCATTGAGCGTTCTCTTTAGCTGTGTGCACCGGATCACCTGCCCACCCTCCCTAATTTAGGGCTTTTGTGTTTGACCTTGCTATGCCTGTCAAGGGGTCGTCTGCTTTTGGGGCAGGGGCCTGGTAGGAATTTTGTCCATTTGGCGGATTGGCTGGTGCCATTTTGTTTTTGCCTACTGCATAGCAAATCGTCACAATTTGTTAGGTTGCGGTTAGGCATTGGTTAATTTTTGGGTTGGTGGAGGGGATGTGGTTGCCTGTGCCTGCCCCTCCAATGCTGCTGCTGCAAGGGAATTCCGTTAAAGGAATCCAGGGGCTCGCCATGCTTTCGTCCGAATCCCTGGCATGGGGCTTGGGCTGCGCAAGTCCCTGGGAGCATGCGGGGAGAGGTGAGGGTCTGGTGCCCGGCTCCATTTTCTCCCCAATATTGTTTTCCCTTACTGGCTTTTGCTGGAATCCGGAAGTCAGTTCTGTCCCTGGGCGGGGACAGATAGTCATAACCAATGCCTAAGCACCACTCACATTTATGTATTTTAATAAAGTTGTGGCCAAAATTATGCCAAAAACCTTAAACAAAAAATCTGTGTGAATTGTGATTTATTTGGGGGGTGGCTTGGGGACCTCGACACGCAAACAGGGCTGCCTTCAGATGTTTCCTAAATGTTATATAATTAATCATCTCCTTAACATCTGATGGGAGGGCATTCCACAGAGTGGGATCCAAGGGTGGGAAACCTGTGGGTGGCCCTCCAGAAATTACTGGACTACAACTCCCATTATTCCTGACCACCAGCAATGCTGGATGGGGCTGAT